GGACATCCATTGCTGGCTGTGTATTTCTTATTCTCCTTCGACTCATCTGCTACATAGCTGAGCCTGGAAGCACTTTCCCAGTAGTGTGCCCAGCTACCTTGAGCGCTATTGCATTTGGTACCTGACAACTGGCATCATGACTGAAGGAAGAAAAAGAGCCTCTCACTCAATGCTGCCCTACACCTTGCCGTCCCTGTCCATAACAGCGCTATAGCCCCGTTTCTGCATTTACACATCAGACCATGTGTCCATGCAGGTGCTGTGTGGATCTAATTGCTCTTTTGGGCCCTATTGTTTTCCCAGGTCTCTATGGCCTATAGTGCCAGGCCATATCCCTATCTTGGTTCTTTGAGGGACAATCATCTCCATCCTATGAATCAGTGCATGTATGGCGCTGCTTCACCCTCTCACTGTCAGAGGGACTCTGGCATAGGGACCAAGGTGCTTGAGGAGAGAAGGCATTTCTTTTGTTTAGCTCCATCTATTTAAATGACTGGAAGTGGAATCCAGGTGGGGTGTGTGAAAGCAGCCACCTCCCAAGGAGACCCTCTGCTGTTGTCCCTTCCAACCTCTGCCATTTGTGTGGCAAAGAGACCTCAGTAACCACTACACATGTCAACTGGAGGAGATGGAAATATTTGATGCCTGGATCTCCTGGAGGAGGTAGGTGCTAATTTGCCTATGGAATGGGGGCAGGCAATTTAACTAGTTAATACACGTGTGATTGTATCATTGCTGTCACTGTTTGTCCTTCAGTTCCTCTGCTTTTTTTCCTTCTTGCAGGTTACTGTTCTGGAAAGTGCTCCAAGCAGCTGATAGGCTCCCCTTTTCTTTTCTTTTCTTTTCTTTTCTTTTCTTTTCTTTTCTCACAGGAATTGCTGTACAAACCCTACCTGCCTGTTGATGTTTCATTTTTCTCTCCTGGCTTCCATTTTTGTATATTTTTATATTAAAGTAGAAGTTTCTCATTGGCGTATCCCGTGTATTTGTCCCAGTGATTCAGAGGTAGAGACAAGGCCATAAATATGAGCACAGGTACACTTAGGGTGCTTTTGACTTCTCTGGAGCCATGTTGGGTACTTGTCCTCTCATTTTCTCCCCGTGATATGCTTCTCTCAGTGGGATCCTCCTTTTCAGCACCCACCATTTCTTCCTCCTCACAACTTTCCCTCTTGTTATTTTCTAGTGTGCAGAAATCTGTGACTGTTGTCTGTGGGGACCCTTCCTCCTTGGTTGCTATGAGACGTAACTGTTCTTTGCTCGTGACTAGAACCGGGGGGAAATTTTTGGCAAATAAACTGTTCACAAAGTCAGGCTGAATTAGGTGAATAGTTTCGGGCAAAAAAAAACTTGGGACAAAAAATTCTGAAAATGTCTAAATGTTTAGTTGGACCCAAAACAAAAACATTTTCAGATTTTTTTTTCATTTTGGCCACCAAACCGAAAAAGCAATTATTCATCCAGCTCGACTCATGATCTAATGGGGCCAGGAGCAGCGAATAATTATCCCCTGCCTTATACTGACTCATGTGGTCTCCCAGCCCCTAGAGCTGAGTGCTATACAGGTGACAGGGGGAGAGGGATGAGTGCAGAGAAGACAGAAGGAGATGCTCCCACCCCAGCAGAAATGCATGTTTCCATGCCAGGAACTCCAGTTTCTTTCCACCCAGCCAAAGCCCCTAAACCCAGCAAGGTCAAGATTTTCAAGCAGAATCTGAGTTCTTTCCTACTGTGGCTGATGTGGGAAAGAATCCTACTCGCTATGTCTGAGCAATGTTAGCTCTGAAGGAGTAAAACTCAGTACCTCCTTCTCTGGTTACTGCACGCAGCAGATCAGACTCTGAAAAATGTCATTTCGTTTCAGAGCGGAATCACCCCTCAAGCAAGGAACTCTGCAAATATTCAACTATGCAGAATTGTTAGTAATTAGTATTTTTTGTTACACAAGACTTATTATTTTATGGTTTGTGGGCTCATCCCCAGGGCAGCATTTTAGGGCCCAATCCTGCAGCCCTTGTTCCTGTAAATAAAGACTGAAGGATCAGGCCCTTAATGTAGGCTACAGGGGTCTAATTAGTTAACATTTATGGGCCAACTGGAGAACACTTAGATTGCACCTGCTTTAAAGTTATGCAAATAGAGGAACTAAAACCCCTGACAATTACACTGAACTGAGTTTTGTGGGACCCCTGGGAAACGAGTTCAGAGGAATGGTAAGTAAAATTGGCATTAAGCAGTGGCCATTCCCGAGGGAATGAGGTTCTTTCACAATTGTAAAGCCTAGTTCTGAGTAAATGCACTTGGGTAACAGCTCTTGCTTCCACAAGTAGCCTATCGGCTGAAGAGCAACATAAACCAAACCCCAAACCTTGGGCAGAGTTTTGGAGCTTGTGGATCCGATGGATTCTGACCAGGGATGAAGTGGAGCATCCGTCCTGTTATTTGCGCTGTGACACTGGGAAGTGACACTCCAGAACTCTCACACTCAGAAGAAATGCTGCTGCCACTGCTGCAGGGGTGTTTTATTAGCTACTTTTATTATCCATGTAGGCCTCTGCCTTATTCTTTGTGTTGCTCATTCTTCAATGAGACCCAGGGGTCTGATGTTTGGCCACCGCAAAACACGTTTGTGTCTCCCAAGCATCAGCAGCAGGGGGGGACCTGTGACGACACCCTTGTTTATACAGGGAAAGTGAAGGAAGCGGCTGTAATGAATTTGCAACTGAGTGACAGAAATGGAATTTTCTACTCACTCATGTATAATCTGGAGCGGTTCCGGATTCCTTGGCAGATACGGCGCCTTTTGTGTGGGGTGCAGCATTTCTGCCTCTCACTCCTCTGTTTGTGTCTCTCCACTTCACACTACGCTCCTGCGTGGGATTTGCTAGGCAATCACTGTGTCTGGAACAAGTGAGGGCAAACAAATCTTTTGCTGGGGTTTGTTTGTGTTGTCTGGGGGGTTTCTTAACATCACTAATTCCCTGCAAATTGTCCACCACCGCTGATGGCAAAAAGGAGATGAAAAGGCCAGCAACATTAGCCATCATTAGAATAAGAATCATGTATTCCTCCCAGCTGAGATGCATATAATTAGAAATTAGAAAAAGGTCAGATCTTGCCATTATCAACTCAATCAGCTATTGAGTGCCGCACAGTCAATTAATTCAGCATCTGTATTTTTTACAACCCCGCGCACGTATTCCATTGGACTGTAACTCTTTTTCTGGACAGATATACTACGCAGTGAAGCAGGAACATAAAATGAGAGACCCTAAGCAAATGAGCTGAGATAATTGAGAGATTTATTTTTTATATATATGTGTGTGTCAGGTCTTCTTGCCTTTGCCCTTGAATATTGACTTTCATAAATGTGATTGTTGGATGGATGCGCTAGTCTGAGGGATCTCTGTCCCTCTTTGGAGCTACACTTTTCTTGTGTCCATTTACTGAATAGCTCTGAAGAACTTTAATTTCCCAGTTTGTGTGCTGGTCAGGTTTTGTTTGTTTGTTTTTGTTTTGTTTGACCTTGTGCGTTATTCCCATTTCTGCAAGAGAAAAGAAGTAGGATGTGGAGCATGGGGGTGCAAGGGTTCAGTAGCATATCGACGTGAACCAGTATTAGTGGGGCTGAAGCAGGAGCTGAAAGGCAAAGGGCTTTCAACCTCTTCCTCTCAAAATTCCCTGGAGTAGATGGGGACTAAAAGGAGTTTGTCCCCTGTTTGCCCTGGCTAACCATGCTTCTGATTAATCTCTTCTTGTTCTATTTATAAATTGTGCCTAATCAGCGCCCGTTAGTCTGTCTCCCTGCTGGCTTTGTGACTCAGCTGAGAAAGCCTTCACAGTGCATTAGGACAGAGAAATGTGGCTATCTCCTGAGGTCCTCTCCTTCCTCCTACCCCTTTTTAATGCCACTTTTCTAAATCTCGGAGCTGGTAACGAGCAAGGCCTCATTATAGCAGCAGAGTTCCAAAGGCCCTCCTCCTACTATTGCCACTGCACGCTCATCAGGGCAATTGATGGCAAGGCCATTGAAATGTATGTAGCCATTCAACCCAGGAGCAGTCTATGACTAACGGTTTGTAAAGATGATCACTACAATTTGCAAGTAAAAAAAAATCCTTTGACATGTAAAGACTTTTTGTTATATAAAACTGGCTTTAATCACCCCACAGTGAATAGCTGGAATTTTATATATTATGCAAGATTTCAAACTGAAGCTGTAAAACGTAAAGTTTCAGTTCCATGAGAGGAATGTTTTATGTGTACATTTTTTAACATTTATGGGGTACATTTTAATGAGGCCCAAGCTTTGCTCTAGGGAAAGCTTACAGCCACATTGCTGCTCTGAAATCTTGTTAGCGAGAGTGGCCAGTGGAGAATAATCAAACACAGTTTTACATCCAATGCTTAGTCTCCAAAATTTTCTTTGGGCATTTCTTTTAGTTGGGATGGTAATTACAGTGAGTTTCTGCATCTCCAAATAGTGGAGATGATGAAAAAATAGAGACGAGCGGTAAAAACTTATGCTGAGTCGCTCTGAGCTGGATGATTCATTGGTTGATACTGACTAGCAAAATAG